ACCAACCAGACGCGGACGACGCTGACGACGGCGATGTAGCCTCCGAACCCGACAAGACTCCAGAAGTCGTTCCCATCTCGTAGTCTTTTCTACGATGAGATTGTGAAGCCTATTAATTGTAAAGATAATTTATTATTAAACTATTTATTAATTTAATTTGTACAATATACTTTAAGGTAAATGTGAAATATTACTTATGGCGTTTAATTTCAAAACATCTGTTTTCATTTAAGTTCATTTTTTTTATTTGTTTAATCTTAATCAAACTTTTTTCCATTCTCGTAATTTAAGTTACTGTGTTTCAAATTATAAATTGCGGTAGCATTCGAAAACATATGGAAAGTGTAATCTTGTCCTTGCATAATTCCGGTTAACAGATAGTAGCACTATCATTAGTAATATTACAGGAAACTACTATTTTAAGTAATATTACAGGAAAAATTATCTATTAGTATTATTACAATCTTAAAGGCGTAAATCGAAATTCATATAATTTAGATTTCCGAGGTCTTGTATCGAGTAAGGGAGGTACAATGTCTTAGTATTGTTTTTAATTGTCATTCCGTGTCTATGTTAGATTGTTATTCACAGTTAATTCTTTTTCCTGTAAGACTCCGTACACTATTGTGTTAAATGTTTCATTAAGGAATTCCATTGAATGTTTTGATTAGAAATTCTTGTTTACAACTGGAATTAAACAAGTCACGTTACAACACAATACATTTAAAAACTTGTAAATATAAAATTGCATGTTGTGTCAAGATATGTGTGAAGTCGACCAACCCGCACTGGGCCAGCGTGGTTGACTATGGCCTCATCACCCTAAATTAGGGTAGGCTCCGAGCCCCTCGGTGGGGACATATAGTGAGCTGGTGATGATGATGATGGTGATGATGTTGTGTCACTAGTATAAAACCGTATAGAGTACAAAATGTTTATTAAATAGAGCGTTGATAACAAATCGCAAGATATATCTTATCAAGTCAAACCCAAAATTTCTCATACATTGTACTATGTGGTTACAGTTAGATAAAAATAACCTCAATACTTACATAATACATTTTATATTGGTTATAGCAAAGTTTAGTTGATATCGTTTCGTTTAGTTAACAAAAATATTACAATTTAGTCTTCGATTATTTTAGTAATTAATTTTTTACTACGATTAATTTTTATATAAATCATTTCCCATTGCTTGTTTCTAAAAAAAATGGAACGAACAGAAAACGACGCAATAATAATTACAGCTCCTAAATTCAGTCTCCATAACAACAAAATTCTGAATCACGTTGATTTAAAGTAATCTATAGTAGGTGTTACCTTCGGTTTCATCTGCATGAAATAATTAATTAGATTTAATAACCATTCGGTTAAATTAAAATTCGACCAATATTTTATATCCGTTTGAGCAATCTAAAGAAAACATTAAGCCTTATTATTATCAAGTTAGTTTAGTTACAACCGAATAAATATAATAAGTATTATATTATTTTAAGTAGTTACTTTTTTTTACGACAGCAGAAAGATTTGTGTTGCAGCAGAAAGTGATCAATTTTTGCTGTTGAATGGTCATAGTCACTGATATTAAACAAAAACAAATTTGGGTGTAAATTTTTTTGCTCGATTTTTGCATTTATTCAGTACAATAGGATTATTAGTATGTCACATATGGAACATTCTGAACAAGTCATAAAAACATACATGTGTTACAGATTTACTAATATAGGCGTGATGACATGATCTCATCGATTACAAATTGAACAAGGCAAATAATAATAACTGATAAAACTACGTATAATATCTAATCAAATAAGAAATATATGAAGTCTATTTTAAATTTACAAAACAACTACTTGCAATTTTCATTCTTGCTCGCGCAATGACAGACAACAGTTTCCCTTTCGACATTCGTCCTGTGGATGGGACTGAAAATGATAATTTGCAGAAATATTTCCAAGGTAATTAAAATTCATCTCGTGTCTCTAAAAACATACATTGAACAAATACATCACTACAATTTAGAAGACTAACTGATACAAGAAAAAAATTCAAAATTGTGTTCAATAGTGAAAACTACGTTATTATTTTCACCAAAAACATTTGACATTAGTTGTTTCAACAATATTTTTTTTTTTAAAGTATAAGTTTTTTTTCCAGGGTTCAAATATATTAGAGTTGGACCAAAGAATTATTTTCTGATAAATGGGTACACGGAGGGAGCCGCATATATTTACAACATGCCTCTTAGACCTGATGATGTTTTCGTCGCCAGCTTTCCTCGGTCAGGTAAACACTTTACCACGTCTAATGTAATATGCTTAATTTTGTGTTTAAATGTTTTTTAATGAAATTTAATAGTGTAACTTATAATATTTTAAAATATAACAGGGACAACGTGGACGCAAGAACTAGTGTGGCTGTTGGCGAACAATTTAGATTATTCCACAGCAGCAAATGTTTCACTTCAGAAACGATACTTCTTTTTGGAGTAAGTACATTTATATTTCAAATTAATCATTAACAATGTTCATACTTGGGGTGAGGAAGTCAAAAAATTTGGTAAATTTGAAGCAAGAACTTCTACAATTATAATACGTATTACAAACAGTTGAAACACTTTAAACCATCACAAGTGCGATTAAAAGACAATTTGTTATTTTTTATTTCGTTACAGGCAATCGTTGTTTATGACGGAGGAAATAAAAGAAAAAATCTTAAAGGATAATACTAACACTGAAAAGAATCCTTTAGACGATTATAACATACCTCGTGCTGAAGAGACAGCAAAATTGCCGTCTCCGCGCTTCCTAAAGACACACTTGCCTATGTCACTGCTACCCCCGAATTTGCTCGACACTACCAAAGTTGTGTACGTGGCACGAGACCCACGAGACGTTGCCGTATCGTATTATCATCTCAGCAAGTTATTCAAGGTGTCTGAATATTTGGGAGATTTCAAGAGTTACTGGGGATTTTTCATTAAAGACATGGGTGAGTCGACAAATTAAGAAAGATTCATGCAATTTTTAATGATGTTGGCAATAATTAAGTCAAGGATGAGTGTCAATGAAATATTAATCAAATAATAATGAACCCTATTTCAGTGAATTGGGCACCGTTCTTTGAGCATCTGAAAGAGGCATGGCAACTACGCAATCATCCTAACATGTTATTTTTATTCTACGAAGAGTTATCCAAGGTACTTAGCGAATAACAACATGTGGTGTGATTTGATTCGATTTTGACAACAAAAAATTAACCTAGCCAATTATAAAAATCCTGGAAATCCTAAAAAAAACCTATATTGTTTCAGGACCTCCCAACAACTGTACAACGAGTCGCAGATTTCTTAGGGAAGCAAATAACGAAGGATCAATTGGCAGAGCTCTGTTCGCATCTCAGCATTGATAATTTTAAAAAGAATTCATCAGTCAACTACAATGAAGCTAAAAACTCCGGTATACTGACGGCAAATGAATCATTTATAAGAAAAGGTAAGATAGGCGACATTGTTTTTCACATATTAATTTCCTTTGATCTCAATTCCATCATCCTTTTCAGGTAAATCTGGAGGTTGGCGGGACTCATTCGACGAGGAAATGACGCGGGAAGCGGATATTTGGATTGCTAAGAACTTAGAAGATACAGATTTACGATTTCCGTCGATGTTGTGATTATTAACCAGACTTGTGATGATAAAATATTATTAATAATGCACAAAAAGTTTGATCTCTGTTGAACTAAATATATTATCCTGCACATAAGCGTTTTTTATTAACCATTGTTTTCTTTTTTATTTGATTTCGTTAGTTACATTACAATCCTAAATTTTGACAGTAAAAATTAACAAAGGACATACAATGTTCTTGATGAACTAGTAACTGCAGAAAAATCTCACTTTACTTACCCTCTGGCGCAACGATTCAAATGGTTTTGGCATCCAACACAAGAGTTTGCCAATAACGCTGTGCGGTGAAACAGCAATATTGTCTATTCTTCTGTTTGAGCTCGTGTTTTAGTGTCACCTACCATTCATTTTCTTTAAATTAAAATAGCGTAATTTAAATATTGCAAATTCTTTATTGACAGGCGTTACTTTGGTAAGTTAGGATCACAAAAATATAAAAGCGGGCGCACACTTTTAACTAAACTATCGCATAACGGTTCTGCGATTGTCGTTTGTTTCGCAGCCAATTCAACTGTTTAGGTGCACAAATGAAAATCCAGTAATGTGTGCACCTCCATATATGATAAGCTCAAAGGAATCAAAACGCGACTAAACAGTTGTGAGAAAGTTTACTTTTAGGTAGGTTAGGTTTCAATTATGACTCGTCATTGTCAGCTAAGTAGTATTCAATATATTTCTGTTGCCATAGAATCTACGCAGTAGTACTTTCAATTATCAACTTATCACGCATCACACAAGAACAGAAAATACTGACAGTGTATAATAAAATAACCGTTTCCTTTGTAATTTACCAGTAACGTATTTTATAATAAAGTCTACATGTACTTTGTCTTTTGTTGGAATAAGTTTTTTTTAAAGAAAAGGGGACAAGGGCGGCTTAAAAACTAAGTTGATCAACGACGTCCATGTCCATACATTCCCAACACCAAAGCTACTACACAGTAACTAGTTTACCTTTTAATCAATCCAGTGGGAATTTTATTTTCTAATGAACCGATTGTTTCTGTGGATACGATCGGCCTAATTGGAAAATTCCAGTAGAACGTATCGCTTGTTACCAACGCGAAACACTCAAATGAATATCGCCTATTTCTACAATGTAACAAGGTCCTCTTGGCACTTCAAAGTTGTCATGTCATTGACGAAATAAGACTAATATAAATCATATCAACTTCTGATGATAATTACGTGTTATATCTTATCGAAATCTAAATTTGTGGATTATAACGTGACGATATCGTGGGCGGATATGATATAATCCAAACGCGCTGTTTTCATTCTGTTTTCGCGTTCGCAATGTCGTCTAATAAATTTCCTTACGACATTCGTCCTATAGAAGAGTCAGAGCAGCAAATATTAAGTAAACATTTCCATGGTGAGTATTTTTCTTTATATATTCAATCTTTTTACGTTTTCTTTTTATTTCTGAACAAAAACACATTTTCATCTCTGTTTAGGCAAAGAAAATGGTAGAGATGACATTAGTATGGTTTTGTACAAATTTTTTGCCAAAAATCCGGTAAATTTTATTTTTTATTTTCATCTCTTATAAAAAATATTTTAAATGCCAAGTATCTAGAAATAAAGATTTAGGTTTATAAAAATATCGTATAAAGTAGGTAGTTAATTATTAAATTGGTCGATACGTCACTGATGTTTCATTCTACTCCTCTGGTACATCAAAATAACTTTTCGTTAAATACGTGCAATATTTATTTCAGAGAGATACAAGTACATTCAAATTGGCCCGAAGAATTATTTTATGATAAGCAATTACGGAAATGATGCTGCAAACATTTACAACATGCCTCTTAGACCCGACGACATATTTGTCGCCAGTTTCCCTAGATCAGGTAAATTGAATTAACAAAAAAAAATAAAAAAAAACATACAGACGAATTGAGAACCTCCTTCTTTTGGGAAGTCGGTCAATAAAACAAACATTAACATTATTTATCTTGTATTCATTTCATTTAAAACTAGTTGTTGCTCACGACTGCGTCCGCGTGGATTAAAAAAAATAGTTAAAACATAACCTATGTTACTCACAGAACCTTTTTAATGGTGAAAGAATTTTTAAAATCGAACCGGTAGCTTATACGTGAATACATACAAAAACAAATCTTTCCTCTTTATAATATTAGTATAGATACGTAATTATCACAATATATTTAAGGTGTGTTTTCCATTGGACTGATCGGCCTAACGCAAAACACCATACAAAAGTAAAATCTTTGTGTACATTTTAGGCACTACGTGGACTCAAGAATTAGTATGGCTTTTGGCGTCCGATTTGGATTACTCCAAAGCGGCTCAAATTCCACTTCAGGCCAGATACATATTCTTGGAGTAAGTGAAAAGAAAAACAAAGGAATTTTAGTTTCTTGTTACAAGAAAAGGCTAAGTTTTTACTCAAAACTTCTTTACAGATTTTCCATGTTCCTAAGCAAAGAATTGTTGGAAGATGTGAAAAAGGAGAATGTAGGCAAAGAGGAACAATTAGAAATATTAGATTATTTGGCCATTCCTGGATCACAACTGGCCGCTCAGTCTCCGTCACCGCGGTTCCTAAAAACACACTTGCCTATGTCTCTGCTGCCGCCGAATTTACTCGACTCAACTAAAGTTGTGTACGTGGCTCGCGATCCCAGAGATGTCGCCGTGTCGTTTTATTTTCTCAACAGGTTATACAAATTAACCAATTACATTGGTGATTTTAAAAGCTTTTGGGGATTTTTCGTTAAAGACATGGGTAAGCAAACTTTGATTTTTCAAAGAAAAATTGCACAGAGAAAAGGAAATCCAACAAACTAAATTTTGATACACTGAAAACCATCCATGTTATTTAGTCATATTTATCGATAGAAAAATTTGATCTGATTGAGTTTATTTAATTTCCAATTCAAAGTACTTCATCAAATCATATTTAAATGTAATTTTGTTTCAGTTAATTGGGCTCCATTCTTCGATCATTTGAAGGAAGCGTGGCAATTGCGAAATCATCCTAACATGCTGTTTTTGTTCTACGAAGAACTTTCCAAGGTATGCGATAACAAAACTACACATCTTCGTGATATGAAAGAAAAAAGACGAAATTATTAATTAGTACATGTACATTAAATTAACAAACAAAACCAAATTGTTCCACTTTAGTAGTGCTTAAATAAAAACTAAAATGAAAATAACAGTTTCGTTGCTGAAGGTACCGGAGTATGAGGTATTTGACCGCTCGGTGCCCAAGCAGTGTCTCACTAAATGAGGCCGCCTAAAACTTTCTTACATTATTTAATTTATGCTGCATCAGGATTTGCCCTCGACAGTACAACGTGTAGCGAATTTCTTGGGGAAGACAATAACGTCTGAACAACTGACAACGCTTTGTTCACATCTTAGTATAGAGAATTTTAAAAATAATCCATCGATTAATCAAGATGAACTTAAGACTTTGGGTATGCTGTCAGAAAAGGAATCCTTTATCAGGAAGGGTAAGCATCTAATTATCTTATGTACAATAACATACTTCAGAAAATGCATCTCAATTACAATCGGGGAAACAGGCCACGAATAGAAAACAAATTTTAAATGTGTCGTTACGAAATAAGGTCGGTCCATGGAATTTATTTATTCATCATCACCAGCTTACTATACGTCCCCACTAAGGGGCTTAAAGCCTACCGTAAGTAAGGGGTGACTAAGCAAAGTCAACCACGCTGGCCAAGTGCGGGTTGGTTGACTTCACACATATCTTTGAATTTCTTCACCGATATGGGCAGGTTGCATCACGATGTTTTCCTTAATGACCGTAAGAACGTCGGGTAAGTTATGTACATGTGATAATTCGAAAATCACATTGGTACATCACGGAATTCGAACCTAAGACCAGTAGATTACAAGTCAAGTGCTTAAACAACTGAGCCACCGACGCTCTTCGATCGGATCGATTTATTGCTTTTTATTATTTTCCCGTTGTTTTTGTACGAAAAGGCGTAACACGTCTCGCTTTTTAGCGAGATATGTTACGCCTTTTCCTTTTCCTTTTGGAATAAGGCAATTTTTCTGTAAGTGGAACACTGCGGAATTCCACTACTGTACCTTACAGGAAGCAATGTTTCACACTATTGGTATTTTGTTAATTAGTCGTAGTTACAAAGCATGAAATATGAGATAAATGATAAATTCCAGGTAAATCAGGAGGCTGGCGTGATTACTTCGACGAGGACATGACACGCGAGGCGCAACTCTGGATTGACAATAATTTGCAGGACACGGACATGCGTTTCCCAACTGTACAATAAGTACACTAATTTGTTTAGACAAAAACTTAACGAAATAATAAACGTTGTTTACAAGTCACTTTTCTTTATTCCATATATTCCTATCTAGAATTTACAAAATCAAATTTATCGAACAGTCCGTCAAAGAAATCATACTTCACACTAATATTATAAATGCGAAAGTTTAGATGGATTGATGGATGGATATCTGTAGATGTTTGTAGCCTGTGGAAATTTGTAGCCTAAACGGCTGAACTGATTTCGAATTTGGCAAACGAAAGCTAGTATAGTTATACTTCAAATAATGTTACAGTAAATATAATGAGAAAATGTGTTTTGACTATTAATATGAAAATAATTAAATATATCATTATTCAGAAAGTTATTCTTCTAATTAGGAATTTGTAGAATTAATAAATTGTGTATTAACAAACCGTAAATTCTTTCACCCTTACAAAAGTAATTTATCTGTGAGTAACATAGGCTATATTTTTTTTTATTTCTTTATTATTATTTTTGAACTTCACGCGGAAGGAGTCGCGGGCAACAGTTATATTTAGTAAGGATGTTCCCTATTACATCTTTTGATTATTCCATTAGCTTGTAAACATAATGTAAAATCTATGTCCTAACGAATTATGTTACACAGTGTATCTTTGTTGTAAAACGTTTAAGTAGTCAAACAAGCTATCATAAATTATGCGACGCAACCAGGCGTAAAATAGTAAAATGTTTATACAAAAACATGTTCTTATTCCCGTTTTTTCCAAGGTTATGAGAGAGACGACACGCGTTATTGCACAGATATTCAAATTCAGGGTTTGAAGTGCTTATCTATTTTTTTTTGTAATGTAACTTGCATAAAAAATAGATGATAAAATTTTATCACATTCAAATAATACTACTTATATTCTTGACGTATATTGAAAACATTCTTAATTTTTAAATTTGAAATATCACGATGGAAGAACTCAAAAACAGTTTCCCGTTCGAAATCCGAAATGTTGAAGGAACCGATAATAAAGAACTGAGTAAATATTTTTTGGGTAAGTTTCTTTAGTAATTTCTATGAATAAGATTTTTTTTGCAAATAATCCAGCATGAGTACAATTTTTATGATTATGTTGAGATAGATACTGCACTTGTAAGATTCGATTTAAAAAATATTGACATTAAGACATTAGACATGTTAATTCTATAATTAAGTATGTTAAAAACTTAATTTGTCTACTTAAATTATGGTCTACTTTTATAATATTTATTTTAGGTGCTGGGAACTTTAATATTCAAGTGGGACCAAAGAAGTATTTGCTAATGAGTGACTACAAAGGTGATGCTGACAATATCTACAATATGCCGCTGAGACAGGACGACATATTCGTTGTTACTTATCCACGTTCAGGTAAAGAAAATGCCATATAAGAAATTAAAGTAGGGGCGGAAAGGAAGGTAAGGACCTGAAATGTTTTTGTGTAAAAAAGACATTAGATTTCTTTATTTGGTTTTTCGGTATTTAGTACAGTCAGTCGAAATTTATTGGTTTCTTCTGATTAAAATTTGTTAAACAAGTGTTAAGTATTATTTTTATTTAAGCAATTATTTTCTATTGCAATTATACAATAGTGAATGGTGTTTTTTGTAACATTGAATGTTTTATACTTATAGGTACAACTTGGACGCAAGAATTGGTGTGGCTTTTGGCATCGGGTTTAGATTATTCTACAGCAGTAAAGGTTCCGCTCTCGTCAAGATCCATATTTCTAGAGCAAGTACTCGTTTAACTACATATATCTGTTCGTAACCCTTAGTTTCTTCTAAAACTTTCATACTTTGGCAAATTCTTTACTCATTGATCAGACATTTCTAACCATTTCACTTTTGCAAATTCATGTTAATTAATAAACTGACAGACGGCGACATTTTTGTTTTTTGACACTAGTTTTCTTACAGATTTCCCATGCTAATGCACCAAAACATAGTGGAACATTTAATGAAAGAACACGCTGAAAAGCCGGAGAACTTGAAAACTTTCCAACTAATGAGAACTCCTGGTTCGGAGCAAGTCGCTAGGATGCCCTCACCGCGATTCATCAGGACACATCTGCCTCTCTCGCTCCTGCCTCCAACTTTGCTCGACTCCACTAAAGTTGTCTACGTGGCTCGGGACCCTCGGGACGTCGCTGTTTCATACTATCATCTTTCCAGCGAGTTCAAGTCATACAATTTTAATGGCGATTTCAAAACTTATTGGAGTTTATTCGTCAGAGATCTAGGTAAATTCAAGTCCGAAGTTACGAGTAAATGAAAAAATCAGAATGTATTTAGTACAACATCTAGAGATCGAATGATCGCTGACATGTACCACCAAGTTATTTTTTCACAAAAAGCATGTCTTTTGATTGAAGAAATGAGTAAGGGAGGGTAGATTTAAGATTTACATTGTGTTATTTGTGTTAACTGTTGTTATTACAGTGTATTGGTCACCGTTTTTCGAGCATTTAAAAGAAGCTTGGGAGATGCGTCACCACCCGAACATGATGTTTTTATTCTACGAGGAATTATTACAGGTTATGTAGAATATACGTGTACTTACTTAATACTTAAGTTAGTGCGCCGCATAAAGTGTTTCACTTCCATTGAGTTGAGTTGATCTTACATTTGGAAACTTACTAGTCAATCTAGGTAAACGTAGTTAAAAAATGTATCTATACTTTATAGATGCATTAAGGGCATGTTAATTTATTTCAGGATTTACCCACGACAGTGCAACGCGTCGCTGATTTCTTAGGGAAGGAGTACACAGCTGACCAGATAAAAGAACTATGCACACATTTGAAATTCGAGAACTTCAAGAAGAACCCGTCTGTTGGTATCGATAATTTAAAAGAGTACGGTATGATGGCACCAAAGGGAGAGTTCATTAGAAAAGGTGAGAAGAAACATTATAAATATGTTTTCGTATGATTTTGTTTTCAAACAAATACTTAATTTACAGTACCTATTCTATATTTCTTTATTCCAGGCAAGTCAGGAGGCTGGCGTGACTACTTCGACGATGAAATGACGCGCGAAGCTCAACGCTGGATTGATAACAACTTGCATAACACCGACATTCAATTCCCAACTGTGCAATGATTACTTTTCTTTTTACAAAATAAACAATTCGCAAATTATTTAACTTAGCACTACTTCTGCTCTACCTCTTGTTTTACTTTGATAATAAAATTCTTTGTTAAGTATGGACATGACGCTGACTTACACACGCGAAAAGGTCTGGCCATTACAATACTGCTGTGTCTATGTTTCTCATATAATCTGATTAAGCGGTGCAAGAATCCAACGCAATTCTTTGAACCTCTGTGTCTGTGCGGCGAGTCGTTACTTTTACGCTGAGTTCACGCAGCAATTCCCGTCGATACGCAGACAGTATGATAGACCTCTCGAGAAGTATCAAGTAAAAATGGTGCAGTCGTTTACGGTTTATGATCGACAATCGCAAAATGCAAAGTTCATTATCAATAACGCAGTAGTGGGCGCTTGGAATATTTACACAATAAGTGGTTATCAATATATTTGTTATGTATTGTTTTAAAAACGTAAAAAACAACTGATAGTTGTATTATCTAATCGATACAAAATAAGCGGATCATAAAACATAGGTGTATGCGCAGGGGGAAGTCACTTTATTTGCATTTGCTATTTCGTTTTTCGCAATGCAGCAACCTAATTTTCCTTTTGATATCCGAGATGTTGAAGAACACGACAATGAGGAATTGAGTAAATATTTCTTAGGTGAGTTCCTTTCCCATAGACTAAAAACGTTAATCAATTTTGAAATCAGAATTTTCTCGGGGAGTCGTAAGTGACAAAGTTGTGTGAAGATAACCCAATTTGGGAGATCTGATCTTTTTGAATTAATTTCTAATGTAAACGTGTTCATATTGCTTATTACAGGTGTGGGAAAAGCTAATATACAAGTCGGTCCCAAGAAATATTTACTAATAAGTGAATATAAGAATGAGGCTGCAAATATTTATAACATGCCAGTCAGGTCTGATGATATCTTTATCGTCACCTACCCACGATCAGGTAAATTAATGTATTATGTTGGTTACTACAGATTAAAACTCAAATAGTCTTCTAATGTAGTTTTCCCCTACTTATTCCACTACTCTATTGTGTAAACTTTCCCGACTACTGAACTCCCATAATCCAATAAAAAACTGCAGCAGTAAGACATATGTATATATAGTAAGCATAAGTCATGAAAACTGTATTATGTTTGCATTTTTTTTTAATTTTCAGGAACAACATGGACTCAAGAAATAGTGTGGCTTTTGGCGTCTGATTTAGACTACTACACCGCAGCTAACACGCCGCTCCAAGCGAGATCTGTATTCATAGAGTAAGTTAGGCATTCGTGTTTGTTACTTAATTGATGTTAAATTTTCTTGTAATTACTTGTTGGGGTATATCCACATTTTGCATTTACTCCACACAAAACCAAAAAAATAGTGTTATGTTATACACGAGTTTTACCGATATTGGCACATTATATAATGTTATCTTTATATATTTATAGTATGTTTTCGTGTGTGGTCGAATGTGTATTCGATCGGTGATAACGGTTACTACGTCTTGCATATTAATTTTGTCAAGTTGTGTCCTTTTTCCACATAAGTTAATAAAATCGAGAATTATCTCCTAAAACAGATGTTTATTTTATAGATTTTCAATGATCATGCACAAGGAGTTTTTAGATAAGATGAAAAAAGTGCACGCCGGTAAAGAGGAGAATTTAAAAGCTTTGGACGTTGTAAGCACGCCTGGAACAGTACAGGTCGCGACAATGCCTTCACCGAGGATCATTAAGACACATTTGCCGATGACACTTCTGCCCCCGACTTTACTTGATACTTGTAAGGTGGTGTACGTAGCACGTGACCCTCGTGACGTTGCCGTGTCCTTCTACCATCTCACCAGCTCGTTCCAGTCGTTCAATTTCACGGGCGACTTTAAAACATATTGGGGTTTATTCGTCAAGGATTTGAGTGAGTATTTAAATAGCTTTTCTTACCGAAACAAAAAAAACTACTTTACATTAACTTTAACAGTGTAAAATTACATATTCATCTATACGCGTTTCCTTAAAAAGCGATGCAGTTTTCTAGTATTTAAGTAACATATAATGATATTGTGGTAGAAAAAAGCAACTTTTTTGCTTCCTATTTATACATTTGTTGTTATTTCAGTGTACTGGTCACCTTTCTTCGATCACTTAAAAGAGGCCTGGGAGATGCGTCATCACCCCAATATGATGTTTCTGTTTTATGAGGAACTAACACAGGTAAAGGAACTAGACAATGTTAAATCACAGATTTAATTTTATAAATATCTAAATGAAAAAAGCGCGAAAACCTTATAACCACTTAACTACTGATTGTTTAATTTCGTTTTAGAATCTCTCTGCAACAGTTAAACGTGTGGCAGAGTTCTTAGGTAAAGAATACACCGCCGAACAATTCGATGAACTTTGTACTCATTTGAAATTCGATAACTTCAAAAAGAATCCATCCGTTGGCATCGATAACTTGAAAGAGTTAGGAATAATGGCACAGAAAGGAGAGTTTATTAGAAAAGGTGAGCAAATGAAAATTATTGTAATTAAGGTTTCAAAATGTGACAACTAAAATTATTGCTCTTGTAGAAAAGTCTATAAATGGTTCCTTATATTTAGTATACTTAGATATTCAATTATTTTGTCATCGATAACAGAGGAGGGGGCCTACAGAGAGAGGATATGTTCTGTACCTGCGCGTTATGCATATTTTCTCTACATCTATCCGCGAAATCCACCACTACTTCCCATCCTTTCCTTGTACGACAATGGAGGAAATGAAAAGCAGACTAAAATTAGGCTTCCATCACGCACATTCATCTGAATAAATGCGCAATTCATTTTACTTGGCGCCTGTTTGCTGTGTGGTCATATTAACTACATTAGTTGAAACGGAAATTTGTGTCATGTTTTTGCGGGCTCTACAATTGAAATTTAATACTTTGCAGGCAAATCGGGAGGTTGGCGTGATTACTTCGATGAAGACATGACTAGAGAGGCAGAGGAATGGATTGACAAGAACTTGAAGGACACAGACATGAGATTTCCAGCCGTGTAATTACTAAATTTTAATAAAGAAAATTGAGTTTACGTTTTTTTAATAAACACTAGATGAAACCTTATAAAAACATACTATTTTCATATACTCTATTTAAACATATCATATAAGACATTTATAAAAAGAAAAAAGTTTAACTTTGCTTAACTATAGTTAACCGAACTCAAAACAATAATAAATGTTCTTACGATACATTGTTATTTTGAGGAAACCTATAAAGAAAGGATTTTGATAACTTTACCCTAGCTAAGTCCAATGTACAAATGCCACATAATTAATTATAACAATTATTATATTAGCACTTCTATTAACGAAGGCTGCTTACTTACTACTGTCAAGTAAAACTACAAGGCCTATAATGCTTCAAATATTGTCGCAAGGCTTGTCGTTACGTCACAATCATGTTCACGCGTCGATGCGATGCCAATCACGAAAATCCGACGACGGTAATTTCGCTACTACGTGAAGTTCACACTTAGATGGGACTGATAAACTACGAAGATTACGTCGACTCTAAGGCTGATAACACACAGAAGCGTGAGCAGACCTGAAGCGAAGCGTTAAATATAAAAACCACTATACACATATTTAACTCCGTAGTTTTTACTGTACGGTACGACGGGCACATGTGTAGGAAAAACAAAAGTAGAATATGAAAATAGAAGAGTTTGTCGTATTAGATTCGGTTTCGTATAGTACCCTAGTTTCTTGAACGATTTTCGAGAATCAGCCAAATCCAAAGGAATTACTTATTACTATTAGCCTTCGATTAGATTTCAGTTATCTTGTACTACTGCATAATCATTACCTTCAAAAGTTTATTTAAATACTAGTTATAAGTAAACAAAAAAGGGTTTTCATGTTACACTTTGTACAGGTGTATATTTAAAAAAAACCAGTATAACAATCTAATCAAATACTATGTATTTACCTGTAAAGTGTTTTGATAAACATTATTAATCATCGATATGGTACATAATATTACTTCGAATTACAAACATTATCTCTTAGTTTAGTTAAGATCGAGAAACGTAGCGGATTTTAATTAATATCAAGCCAGTACCTGTAGAAGATGTCTGAAATAAACAAGAGTTTTCCCTTCGAAGTGAAAGATGTGGACGAGACACAATTAAAGCAATTGAAAAATTACTACGACGGTAAGAGAAAACAAAACAACAAGCCTACGCAAAACCCTTGCAAGAACGGATTACGAATAATTCTCACCGACTGAAAACCTCACAATTTCCTCACACTCATATTAGCCGTGCTAAGGAAACGCTAAGTAATTTTTACATGAAGTAACTTTTGTTGACAGATACATATTTCAACTTGTTCATGACGCGATTCGGACCCAAAGGTTACCTGCTTACTCAAAGTTATGAAACAATCGGCAGAGATATTTATAACGTGAAGATAAGACCAACGGATATTTTTGTAACAACTTTCCCTAAATCAGGTAAAAAAATTAAAACAATACCTATAGTAAAAAACTACAGAAAATTTGCCCGTTCAAGAAAAATAATCTTTCTGCTATGTTTTATCGTAACTATATGGTATACTAGCCTTCGCCCGCGACTCCCTACGCGCAGATTAAAAAAAGTGAGTAGCCTATGTATTCTTCCAGACTATACTCTACATTAATACCAAATTTAATCGAAATCATCTCAACATCATATCATACAAACTCTAACAAACATCCATCCATCTAAACTTTCACATTTATAGTTAGTATGACTACTAAATAGAAAAGAAATCAGCGTTAACTCAGAATTCGGTAAATTGATCACTTCGTTTCTTATAGTTTTATGATATTGCTTTTTAGATATTTATATTTACGTTTATTTATTACTAAGTATGATTAAATAAATTTATATACCTAAATTGATTTTAGGCACAACATGGACGCAGGAACTTGTTTGGCTGATAGCGAACGACTGCAATTTTGAAGAAGCCAAAGCAATTAATCTTAATAACAGATTTCCATTCATAGAGTAAGTAATAATTTCAAAGCGTACTGTAAATACTGACAAAGTTTTTAATCAAGGTAGGAAAAAATGACAAAAGGTTGTTTGTTTAGTAACTATTGGTCGTATGTATTTCAAGAATGATCAGCAAAAGGAAACTGCATATTTATTGAAAGAAAATTAAAATTCACAGGTCGGAAATATTACTGAATTCAGCGGCTTCAAAATTTCTTGCGAAGGATAATACATTAAAGACAAGCTCAGAAATTAATTTACCATCTGTGGAAATGGTGAATAATTTGCCTTCACCGAGGTTCCTCAAGTCCCACCTGCCGCTATCACTTCTACCACCTAGTTTGCTTGATACCTGCAAGGTGGTGTACGTGGCACGCGACCCGAGAGATGTCGCTGTCTCTTTCTATCACCACAACTTACACATAAATTTTTTCTCAGAAGAAAAAGATTTCAAAACCTTTTGGAACTTCTTTACAAATGATTTGGGTAAATATAATAAACAATAATTTATATAGATACGAGTACAGATCTTAGGACGGCACTCGATGTTGAAGTGACTTCACAAAACTCACCTTGTAACTACTATAGGTGGTTATTTAACCAAACGTCTATTAGTTAGATTTTTTTAAATAAAAACTTATCTTTTTTACTTAAAGTTTCATGGACACCATTCTTCGAACATATAAAAGAAGCTTGGCAACAGCGTCATCACCGCAATATGCTGTTTTTGTTCTACGAAGAACTCTCAAAGGTAAATATTAATTTTCAACATGATATTTCCACAGAAAAAACTATTATAGAATCAATTTTTTACCTAACTTTTCATTCCAGGATTTACCAGGATGTGCCCGACGTGTTGCAAAGTTCTTTAACAAAGTAATCACAGACGAGCAAGTACAAGAACTTTGCGACCATCTCAACATCGATAATTTTAAAAAGAACAAATCTGTCAATTTAGAAGACCTAAAGGAGATTGGACTGTTAAATAAAAAAGGCAGTTTTATAAGAAAAGGTAAACTTATTTGTAGTTTTACTTAAATCAGTTTAATAACTAGTGTAATAAATGTAATAAATTCCACAGTAATTCAATCATTCCGTATTGTTTCCACCGAGGACAACCTAAGACACATATTACAGAACGAGAGAGATTGTAACATAGTTTTCTATTTAGCAACGTATTAGATTTGATGAATGTTGACAAGGCTATGAAAATTCTTACAGGTAAAGTTGGAGGCTGGAGAAATCATTTCGATGAAGAGATGACAAGACAAGCAGAACAATGGATAGAAGAAAATCTCCGCGACACAGACTTACGTTTCCCACAATAAACACTACATTTTTAAGCACCATGTTTTGTTCACAAATAATTATTTTTATAAACATAACTAAATATACGCCTACGTAAACCTCAATAGCAATTATTTCCATTGTATAATAATCAGACATACATGGACATGTACGGTAAAGAAAAAATAATACTCACAAATTCTTTGGGTTCTACCACTGTTGACTTGCACTTTAATCTAACTAATATTATAAATGCGAAAGTTTAGATGGATGGATGGATGGATTTGTTAGAGTTTGTAGCCTAAACGGCTAAACGGATCTCGATATAATTAGGCATAGGTGAAGAGAACAGAATTTATAAATGTAAAATAGACATAAAAACTATTTTTAATGGTTATCTAAGATCATATGAACTAGTAGTAGCTGCCCTTTACCTTAGCTCATTGGTTAGCGACGTCCATAGCATCTGAATCCAAACCAATTTGATATCGTATAAATTATTTAAAAATCTGATATCGCAATTGCGCTTGAAAATCGTATAGTCATATAAAGTCCACTACATACGCTCAGTTTTAACTGAACAGTCGTACCTGAATAGTTAAAACTGTGCGTATGTAACCAAAACTATAAGTGAAAAGTTAAACTGTCAGTACAAATTTTGTCTATATAGATACAGTTTTAACTAAACAGCTAGAACCTTCAGATAAAACTGATGAAATGAGCGTCTGTAGCAGGCTTAATGGGCCGGTCACTTTATCTCCAGATAATGGAGAATTATCAAAATACGACACACTAATATAATAGCACACTTTATTAAATATTGTTATTTCAGGTATTGAGTCTAACAGGACAATAATTGTACTAGTTAAAAATGTCTGAATTAAACAAGAGCTATCCTTTTAAGGGTGTCGATGTTGATCCTGAACAAATTGAAAAATTAAAAAATTATTATGATGGTAAGGAATACGTGAAATAATTATTTATATATTCTTTTATATCTGTAGTTATTTTATTATCTTTGATTATTATTCTGTCGCCCGCAAATATCTACCGGAAACTGAGATAATGCAATGTAATGTGTGCGATATATACAAGAGGATCAGAGTATTATAGTTAATCTTTTTTTCCCTAGATACATTGTTCGCCTTATTTACTACGCGCTATGGACCAAAAGGATATCTGTTTACTAAAGATTTTGGAAGCCTCGGTGCGGAAATTTACAATATGGATTTGAGACCTTCAGACATATTTGTAGTTACTTTTCCTAAATGCGGTGAGTGATGTCACGAAAAAATGTCAAGACGGAAAAAGGAAGATAAGATTTACAGTGTGGGCACACCTGAAACTACGCAATATATCGTTCGACTGTTTAGTCGTACAACTGTTTAGTCTTGCTTAGATTCCTATGAAGTTATATAATACGCACACTACTCGATTTTTAGTTTGCAACTAAACAGTTGAATTGGCTGCGAAATAACCAACAATTGCACAACAATTGTGCGATAGTTTAGTCAAACATGTGTGCCTGCTCTATCATAAACCGTTTCTGCGTTTGTTATTTTTAAATAAAAAGGACTAAGTTTAGAAGTATTGATTTAAGGTACAACATGGACTCAGGAGTTGGTCTGGCTGGTAGCTAACGATTTTAATTACGAAGCCGCCGCCGCCAGTACTCTCAACACTCGGTTCCCATTCATAGAGTAAGAAGATATTACCACCATTGATAGTTGAAACCAGATAAACATTTCTAACGCTAATGACATATTTATATTTGATAAACAGGTCATCGGTGTTAATGAACAATGGTTCGATTTCGACCGTTTTCAAGGACGATAAGCTGATAGAAAGTATGGTGAAAAATGTATTTAAGTTGGATAATGTGAATAACCTGCCGTCCCCGAGGTTCCTCAAGTCCCACTTGCCGCTGTCAATGCTATCACCTCGTCTACTTGATACCTGCAAGGTGGTGTACGTGGCGCGTGACCCGAGAGATGTCGCTGTCTCTTTCTATCACCACAGTGATCTGATGAAAATGTTGAAGGAAGGCAGTGACTTCAAGACTTATTGGAATTTGTTTATAAAAGATTTAAGTGAGTATTACTTAATCACAGTTAGGTTGGATTTTTAAAATAAAGTATTTAAGTGTTCTAATAAGAACTCAGTACAAAATATTAAAGAAATTAACTAACATCTATAAAATCTTTTTAGTTTCCTGGACACCATTCTTCGAACATCTCAAAGAAGCTTGGGAGTTGCGGAATCATCCTAATATGCTATTTTTATTTTATGAAGAACTTTCCCAAGTAATTGTCATAGTTTTTTTTAAATATAATTTCAAATCCACCCATATTGACCAGAACTTTAAAATTAACAGGCTTAGTTAATACTCTAATGTTTACAGGATCTAGCTGCGTGCGCGCGTCGTATCGCAAAGTTTCTGGACAAGGAGGTGACAGAAGAGCAAATAGAAAAGCTCTGTGACCATCTTAAGATAGATAACTTTAAGAAGAACAAATCTGTTAATTTGAAAGATTTGCAACAAATAGGAGTTTTTAATTCAAAAGGGAGTTTCATAAGAGAAGGTAATTTAACAATTTTAAATGGTGCGGTGTCATTCGATTCCTATATAGGAATATAAATATTTATCGAAATATTTTATGTTGAAAGCCAGATGGTCTTCTTAGTTTTGTTTAAACTGATTACGATTTAGTGATATGCCTCGGATTAACTATATTATTTTAATCAGTCATATTTTATATCGATATGTTAAAAAACGCAATCTCATGATCACAAAACATACTTTTGCTTCTTATTGCTTATGAAATAATGTAATGTTTTGCAAATTTGATACCAAAGTATTCGCTGAGTTTTTTTAAATATTATATAGAGTGTCCAGGAAAGACGCGTACAATGGTCTTCCAGAGATTCTTTGTTTGCAAATATGAAAGTCTTAACAGATTTTATTCAAATTGAAACCAAAAATTTAAGAAAAAAATAAGTCATAATACAGACGATAACAAAAATATGATTAAAAATAGTTTTGACATTTAAGTTTCCGAGCTCCATGATGACTGTATATCTGTGGATCACCACAAAAAGTTAACACTTAAGATAAATTAACGTTTATCTTATAAAAAAACATTATTTCAATATTAATAAAATCTGTTAAAAGCATTCGACATATTTGTATAGAGGTAAAATAATTAGCTAAAAAGCCCAAACGAAGCAACTTTGGACACAGAAATCTATGGTAGTCATGTCTTTTCCGGACACCATGTATATTACATTTTTTTACCATCTTCATAAGCAGAGTTTTGTTGCCAGTTTCTCCCAAATTAGAATAAAACTTTGTAGTTTTTGTAGTGCTTGTGCACTTGACACTGGCCCAATCCGCAAAGTGAGAGCTATAAACAAGAAATATGTACTAGATAGATAGATAATTTTTTTTATTATATCCGATGATAAATGTATTAAAAGATTATTTTTGAAATATTGATATTGATAAAGATAAGCACTGCTGTGTGGTCTTACATTGTAGAAAATATAATAAAGAACATATAGCTTTTTTGCAATTTTGTTTTGATTTTTTTAGGGAAAGTCGGTGGGTGGAGGAAACATTTTGACGAGGAGATGGCACAACAAGCAGAACAATGGATGGAAGAGAATTTGAGAGACACAGACTTAAGATTCCCTAACTTCTGATTAAAATACTAAGCTTTAGCTTCAATTGTTTTTTAACTGGTTATATTATTAAAATTTATGTGGTTTAAGGTTTTATAACATTAATTAAAGCAACTTTTACAAAAGTCTCTCTTTTACGTATCCCATATTTTGGTTGGGTTAGTTATTTCTCTGGCAATTAATAAACGCCTGTTTGTAATTAAACTAACTACCATATAATACGATAAAAAAAATATAAGTCATGTCGAATTTATATAAAAGTGTTGATATAAAATCAACATGAATCAACTTATTTTTATTGTATTATAATGAACAATTGCATTAAAAATAAAAAAACAACATATAATCAAAAGATCTTTTATATCTATACTTCTATACTAATATTATAAAGCGAAAAGTATTGTATTTTGGTATGTATTGAAATAATTCAAAAACTTCTGGGCCAATTTCAAAAACACTAACTACGTTATGGATATAATTTCACGGGGACAAAAGTCGCGAGCAATAGCTAGTCTTAAATTTAGGCTTTTCGGTGGATTCAGGTGACCATTTTCTCGTTTACCACCCCATATTATAAAAAAAATACAAAAGGTAATCCCGAGGGGTACAGTTGTGCCCCGCATCTTCTCTAAGGAATACAATAAAGCAGCAGTAACTACTTAGTTTTGTTATAAACTGATCTGTATCTGTATGTTTGTGGGTACGCTTAAGCCTAACGATATTTTTTACGAACCAGATAAAAGTATTGAAATCGAAAAAGTTGAAGACTCCGTCAGTAATAACGTTATCACTTTTTTTGGTCTACATATTAAAATTACCCATGATTAACATAACATTGACTAGCCAAGAACAGACATTAAAAAAAAATCGGCGCTTAAAATGGGCGCACACCTTTGACCAAACTATCGCACACTATTGTGCGATTGTCGAATGTAGCGCTGCCAATTCAACTGTTTATTTCCACATCTAAAAATCGAGTATTATGCGCGTCTTACGCTCATGGAATCAAAGTGCGACTAAACAATTGTGCGATAGTTTGGAAAGGTGTGCGCGCTTAAAATATTGCACGCACACATTGCATTGATACAAACTCGTATTTATTCAATTAATATGTATCTTCTGAATACCATTGTTGGCAATTAAAATTAACCTTGGTGTTTCAAATACATTATTTTAGTCATATAGTATTGACTGGTGTTAACAAAAAAATATTTTAATAACATTAAAATGGAGTCAAATTTCGTTATAACGTGTCGAAATATAAGTCCTGATGAAAATCAACAAATTAAAGATTTTTGTCGAGGTAGGTACTTGTTTATAACCACCATTGTTCCCAAAATGGTGGTATGCGTAAGGCATTTCCCCACGATAGTAAAGGCACTTGTTTAAATTTATATATTAACATAAAAAAAATCACAAAAACGTGACATTGCTTATTTTGCCGGTTTAACTAATAATAAGTACAAAAAATTCTACAAAGGAAAGGATAAAAAAGATTGAAGAAGCTGGTCTTATTTCTTTAATTTCCTTTTTATTTTACTAACGCAATTGTAACTTTGTTTTAACTATTTTCGTATTAATTCATACTTAATATTTTTTAATGAAGTGATTAATTTAATTTCTTAAAAAACTCTGTATTTTTATGTGTATATAACTATGCGTCTCGTCCGCCGTCAAATCCACTTTCTCCATCCCATCCTATCCTCTTAAGAAAACTGTGGAAATGGTGTGGGGCTTCCGGTACGCACTCATCAGACGAATCGCGAAAATACTTCCACTAGACGCCTGTCTTCTGTGTGGTCGTGGTATGGCTTGGGAAGAGGTGGCCCTATAGTGCGAATATGTCAAGCCGGGCTCTATCATATTAAGTCTATTTTAATTTCACGGAGCAAGTTTTTATTGGTTACAATTTACAATATCTTTCAGATGAACATATGAGGGTAATGTGTAGATATGGTGAAATAGGCTGCCTGCTCCCAAACACATCTGCTGAACCTCTTAAAGATATACACAACATGAATTTAAGATTTGACGATATTTTCGTTAATTCTTTTTTTAAATCAGGTAAGGTGAAATGGAATTACCTACTAACTACTGAATCAAATCCTTATAAAAATTAAATATACGTTACAGGAACAACATGGCTGCAAGAAATGATATGGTTGATCGCAAACAACTTGGATTATGATACTGCATATCAAAGAAAACTAACCGATCGATATGTATTCTTAGAGTAAGTAGTTCAGTTGTCCGAAATGAGATTATGTAAGTTTGTTATAAATCTACAAGATACTAAAAATGAAACATTCTCATAGGAACCGAGTCTATTTTACGGAACAAATGTTGTCCGTACTAATGAAGGATGAGACATCACGGAGATTATGCGAACTCGTGTACCTTGAAGGCGACAAAAATATAGAATTAGTGAAATCGCCGAGGTTCTTCAAAACACACCTGCCGCTATCTCTACTCTCACCTAAACTTCTTGATACTTGTAAAGTAGTATACATAGCACGTGATCCTCGCGATGTGGCCGTCTCCTTTGCTTATCATACGAAGTTATTCAAATACAGCGATGAAACCAAAACCGTTAAAGATACGTGGGAACTCCTTATGAAAGATCTAAGTAAGTACATTTACCCTTTACCGCTGAAACAAATATTATGGTTATAATAAATACAAGTTTTTCAGTTATTTTGGAAGTAGAAACGAATATCGAATCAAATAAAACACAAACAGCCATTTTGCCGATCTTCCGTTAAATTTAGGGATTACTTAAACAGCATTTGAAAACACTAAAGTAATGATTTTATTTCAGTAACGATAAGGTATTACCAAAATTCTGTTTTAAATTTAGGGAGACCCTTAACCAAACAATCGTATTTACGAAAACTTTAGGGACTAGTTGGTGATAACGGGCTGTACTTCGTGATTAACAAACCAATAACTTCAAATAGAGTTGTATACATTGTCCTGATATGTCCTAAATTATCACTGTTAAGTTTGAAATGGCATTTTTGTAGCAAGAAAGGGAAAACGAGCAGCGGATTGTGTAATGCTATTTAATCCGACGCACAAGACATCCGCATAAATTATTTTAAAACTAATCACATTAACTGTTATCTAATACTAGGTTCTGTAGCTTGTCAGTATACGAAATAATGTGTTGTTTAAGTTATCATGTCACCGTACTTCAAGCACGTGAAAGAAGCATGGCAAAGGCGACATCATCCAAATATGTTGTTTTTGTTCTATGAAGAATTGTCTAAGGTAATTCAAATAACACTTTTATCTATACTAATATTATAGAGAAGGAAACTCTGCTTGTTTGATTGTAATGAAATAACTCAAAAACTACTGGGCCGATTTCAAATTTCTTTCACCATTAAAAAGCTACTTTGTCAGTAATAAAGGATATGATTTATATTATTTTTTAATTTTACGCGGAGGGAGTTGCGGTCGAAAGCTAGTTCTTCGATAACAATGATAGTTCAAAAGATTGTTCGTACAACTTTTTAATACTAATATTTTTATTAGATACTTTGTTTTTGTTGTTGTAGGATTTGGCCGCGGTAGTGCGGCGCGTGGCGACGTTCCTTGAGAAAGACATCAACGAAGAACAGATAGAAAAATTATGCGATCATTTAAATATTGAGAACTTCAAAAAGAACAAATCGGTCAATTTAGAAGAAGTAACTAAATTGGCTAACGGAAACCTATCTTTTATAAGAAAAGGTAAAATAAAAGATACCTTTAAATTTTTCGAAACTTTATTTTTTTATAGTTCAACTTGATTTTTTTTTCACATTTCCTTTTTGCATAAATCAAAAGTTTATATGAATAATATATTAATGTATTCTGCAACTATCGAAATTAACTATTATTAAAGTGAATGTTAACGAGTTTCAAAACGACCACTTTTAAAATAATAGAAGTGTTACAATAACAATTAAAATTTAATAAATACGTATTTCGATTAATTTAGGTGATATATGTTGAATTACTTCCTCAATAATTCTATCGATCCTATTGTTTTAATTCATTTTGGTTTGAGAAACTAAAATAATACTTAAATGACCCAAATATGAAAAGTTTATTGTAATTTTAATATTTTAATAGGTCAGGTGGGCAACTGGAAGGAGTATTTCGATGAAGAAATGACACAACAGGCAGAACGATGGATGGCGGACAACTTGCGCGATACCGACCTCACCTTTGAACAAATTAATACTTAAAACTTGTACTATTTAAAAAATTAAAGATTTTACTTATCCAAAAATGTGTTAGCGACTTTTAATTCCTTTAAAGCTATTAAAAAAACTTAACATCATAATCGTTTATTATCATCACTCCTACAAATATAGAATAGCAATTTATGAAACTTAAACATTGCATTATTTAATTAAAATTAATGTAGTGTGTTATGCATATATATCATCATCTGCAAGAAACTAAAACATTAAAGAATCTGCCTTATTAAATTAGACTAGAGAAGGTAAAGGAAAGGTTACATCAGACTTTGGTTAGACACTAAAAGATGTAGGTAGATATAAAAAAAACAAAATGCAGTTAACTTGAGACCTTCGATCTTACATTCGATTAGCTAATTTCTGCATGATTAGTTCGATTTGTTTTGTTTACATTTTTACCTACAACAGTAAGACAAGATCAAGGTGACACAATTGCATTAAAGTTAGAAGTTGTAGGTCCGAGGCTCAGTACGACGCGAAACCGGGTCCGGCGCGCGCGCTTTCTCGCTGTTAACAGTTTTGACATAAATATAATCGTCGTAATATAAATAACAGTTTAAAAACAGGTTTACTAATAAGGTTTGTACCAAAAAATGGAAAACTCAAGCAATAACAATTTCCCGATAGAGATAAATGATGTTGAATCAAAAAAAGCAGAAGAATTAATGAAATATTTCACTGGTAAGTTTGCCCTACATAACCCTTCTAACTAAAATATTTAATTTCACTATTCTCCATCAAAACACAAACCCGAAATTATCATTTCTTTTTTATATCGTTATTTTTATTTGAAATAAACAAAATAACCAAAACATTTTAAAATAAAACTTTAACGCATCATGTTTTACGATAAAAGTATTTAAGAATGCTTAGTCTATCACGCTAGTTGTTTATTTGTCGAGTTAGTAGAACACGTGTAATGTACTATGCATTGTGTAATTGAGTTATCAATAATAAATAACATGAATAATTTGAATTAATTGCTTAGAATAAATATATCGTTTCAAATCCCCTATTAATAAGATTGTTACTCTTATTAATTGAATGAAGAGGTTTGAACTAAGTAAATTAAGTTTTTATATAAATTATGAGTTGCTTTATTTTCTTACTATAAGAAATAAATCTTATTAAATATTCAATGTGTTTTTAAACATTTATCGTTAAGGGCAAATCGTAATTTGCATACAAAGATAGCAACCAATTAGTTTTATATAACTTATTATAAGTCTATATATTATATAGACTTATATTATATAAACATTATTTAAGGTCTACATAAGTGTTCAAAATAAAATTACACAGTGGTAATAAATTTTATTAATTCTGATAGACATTGTTATTTTTTAAATAAAGTAAATTAAGCAACGTAAGTAACGCATAGAAAAAAGCAAACAAAAACAATGGCTTGTATGTCTTTAGACAGATAAGATTTTAAAAGCCTATGCGAGTTTTAAATTAGATTTTTAATGATCGCAATATGGAGAAAGTGACGCCGAATTGAAATGTAGGTCGCGCAGACAGCGACTACCGATTGTAGCATCACGACTTGAGTGGAACAGGGTCGGCAGTGTGTTCAAGTTATTTAATTGTCAATGAATTATCGATATATCGTCATTATCATGCAAAGAGCATTGACTTCACTTACACTTGACATGATTTAGTGTCGTCAAATTTACTTTATCTTCTTTACTAGAATGGTGTTTACGCTATTAGAATAACGGTAGTTTATGTACAAAATAAAAATACAGAAATCGGTTTTTAATTTAGATTTAATCATCCATAAACATCATTGACAATTAAAACGACGCATGTAGTAATATTGATTAAAGTTCAACGACTTGTATACGTTTGTTCCTGATTTGTTGTGTTTTCGCTATTACAATAACTACTATGAACAACCTTTTGACATGAATTCTACACTTTATGTCTAAACTAGGTTTCGCTTCCAAGCGAACAGAGTCGCGGGCGTTTAGTTCCAACTGAAAAAACCAAAGTGAATATGTTCTTCCAGACTATCTTCTACATATATGCTAAATTTCATCGAAATTCGTTCAGCCGTTTAGGCTACAAATTCTAAGAAACATCCATCCATCTAAACTTATCATTAAAGTTTCATGTTTTGGCTTGATTTTAAGCAGCTTTACTTGGCACTTGAGTAATAGGAACATCTGGGCACATACAAGTTATTTCTTTCAGTAGTTATCGCCTTAATCACTCATCTTAGAATATTTATGCAGTACAGTTAAGATGAGGAGTATCAACGCAAGTCCAGAGACTTATCGGTCAATGAACTTGTACTGCGACCCTATTACGTCTATTTCTTTCAAACCAACTAAACTAAGTTGATTTTATGCAATTTTATCATAAATGATTTAGTTGTAAAACAGTTACAAATTACAAGGTGTAAATATGATAATGTTTATTTTTGATAATAATAGTTGTCCAATCTACCTATTACTTTGTAATTCTTAAAATAATTATGTAAATGATAATGTAATTTTTTATAGGTTTCAGAGATTGAGTCTCACTTGATTAACTTTATTATTTCCTACTTCGTGTTTTATTGTTAAAGTAATTGTGTTTTTCAAGTTAGATCAGCCTTCAATCAGTTATTTTTAAATTTCACTTCGCCAACTTCCTTATAGCCTATACTTTGGAAAGCCACTACAAGGCCGTTTTCGTCAGCCTCGAATCTAATCAACATAGCTTAAGTTAACTATGTAATGATTACGTTATTACAAAGTTATTTTGTAACGAAAAAGACGTTCTTTACTGGCACATAGTAGTAGGATGTCATAAATGAGTTCATTTCCTTGTGTTGCCATTGCCGAAAAAAAAAATTGGAAAAGCATGTTTTTTCCGATCAGTCTGTGTAAAAAAGAATAAACAATGTTGCACAGGTGTTCCGGCAGGTGTTATTTTTATGTTATTTACTTAAACAGCTGTCAATTGATATAGGTGAACACACCGGGTTCGTCCGCGTGGGCCCCAAGGGCTACTTTCTGCCGCACAAATACAAACAAGAAGCCTCCAACATCTATAACATGGAAGTCAGACCGACTGATATTTTCATCACCAGTTATCCACGTTCCGGTAAATTTATGTTTCTATAACTCCTCATTATTCTAATCAAATGCTTATTATTAAAAAAAAAAAACTATCTTAAATCAATAATAAAGGCAACAAAAAACACAATAGGGATGATATTTGGAATCTAAGCAACACTATGAAATAACAGATTTGATGTTTTAAAGTATTTCTTGTATTATTATATCTATATTGCTTTTTAAATACACTGCACTAATGTTAAAAGATTTTCGCAGGAACAACTTGGACTCAAGAACTGGTTTGGATGGTTGCAAACGACCTGGACTATGAAACCTCTAACGCAATACCTCTCACTGAACG